AAACTGCCTCTCCAGTTAACCCTTATTACCATTGTAACAGCTAAGGCGAAGTGCCCATCGACCTGAGTGACATTGACTTGGTCATGCCCACTTGATCACATGACCACCGAGCCCCCGCCTACCCAGCTGTTCATTAGGGCAGAGAACTGGTTAGTAAATTATTTGAATCCCACCACTGCTTCAAACAAACAGCATGTGGCTTCCAGCACACCTACTAGGGTAGCCGGGATGAGTAGAGATGGCGAGGTGCAGAAATCAGCTGGGTTGCATGGACGGGGTAAGCAATGAGAGAGTGAGATATATAGGATGGGATAGCAGCGGGACAGTGGTCAGAACTACCAGTACGGGTGAACCAGTCCAAACCAGCAGCACCACACCTCTGACTAGAGAGAACCCACTGTCCAGTATTCGTAAAATATTCAGCCAGTGTTGGTGGGGGGTCAGGACATGGCACATGGTTGGTGAGTTGAGACTCAACTCTTACCCCTTGCCCAGGCCAACTGTTGACCCTGTCAATAATTAAAGAAGGCTCCCATGATATTCTCCCGGGAACTTGCCGAAGACCATCAGAAAGTGGAGATGATGTCTACATGTTCCACTGTGGAACTGACAACAATGAGCTTCTGATCCCATTGTTGCCACCTGGAAAAAAACTGTCTGGTTTGTAGAATAGAATAGAATAAGCCTCTTCAAAATCTTGGTGCATCTTATACTCCAGAAAATAGGGTATATCCGTATTTGAGGCATAAGTGTATAACAGGGGTTTCCAAACCCCAGTCGATGGACAGGAACCAGCAGTGGTGGGATTCAGCCGGCTCGCACCTATTCGGGAGAACCGGTTGTTAACTTTCTAAGCAGTTCGGAGAACCGGTTGTTGGAAGATATCTCACTTTGGTTTTTTTCCACTTTACAGGGCTAATCCTGTAAGAAAGGCAGGAAGGAAATATCCTGGTGTTGTTTCTAATTTTGATTGCCCTGCTTACAGAAACTGCCTCTCCGGTTAACCCTTATAACTATTGTAACAACTAAGGCAAAGTGCCCATCGACCTGAGTGACATTGAGTTGGCCACACCCACCCAGTCACATGACCACCGAGCCCCGCCTACCCAGNAAATGAAACTCAAACTCAAACTAATTCTGCCGAGTACCAGCAGTTCAATCCTGACAGGCTCAAGGTTGTAAAACAAGGACCCAGATTGTTGGGGGCAGTGTGCTGACTCTGTAAAACTCTTAAAGCACTGTGAAGCGGTATATAAATTTGCTCTTGCAATTTTCCTTCCTTCCTTCCTTCCTTCCTTCCTTCCTTCCTCTTTGTTCCTTTCTTCTTTAGCATTTAGCAATAGCCCTTAGACTCATATACTACTTCACAGTGCTTTTACAGCCCTCTCTAAGCAGTTTACAGAGTCAGCCTATTGCCCCACAACAATCTGGGTCCTCATTTTACCCACCTCGGAAGGATGGAGGGATGAGTCAACCTGGAACAGTCAGGATCGAACTGCTGGCAGTCAGCAGAATTAGCATGCAATACTGCATTCTAACTCTGCACCAATGTGGCCCTTCCTTCCTTCCTTCCTTCCTTCCTTCCTTCCTTCCTTCCTTCCTTCCTTCCTTCCTTCCTTTGTTCCTCTTTCTCTCTCCTTCTTTAGCATTTAGCAATAGCCCTTATGCTCATACACCACTTCACAGTGCTTTTACAGCCCTCTCTAAGCAGTTTACAGAGTCAGCCTATTGCCCCACAACAATCCGGGTCCTCATTTTACCCACCTTGGAAGGATGGAAGGCTGAGTCAACCTTGAGACTGGTGGGATTTGAACTGCCAAATTGCAGGCAGCCAGCAGCCGGCAGTCAGCAGAAGTAGCCTGCAGTACTGCACTCTAACCACTGTGCCACCGCAGCTCATGAAGAACCTCAGAATTCCAGAAGGGAATAGAAAAGAAGGCGATGTCTGTAGATTAAAGTCAAGCCTTCATCTGTACAAACAGCCTGGCATAAAACTCAAGATCCCGGAACTGAGTGTGGTATTTTTCACTTACCTTCCATCTCTTCTGCACCATCTCATGTTGGTGGAGAAGGTCCACCAAGGCCTCCTAACAGAGGGACATGATCCGTTGCAGGCCAGCATTAGCAACTTAACCCAGTTGGCTGAGTGGCCCGCGAGCATCTTACCTCCTCAAAAAGTTCCAGGCTATAGGTATTATCATCATCCGCAAAATAGACAACCCCCGGTTGGCTGTTGTTTCTATTAAATGTCTCCCTCAGCCACCGTAAGGCCAGGTTCCTTTGCATGGTTCCCCGAGGAATCCGGGGGTCCCGCATGTCCCCTCTCAGCTTGTAGTTGCGTGGGGTCTCCACGTTGAGGTGGGTGTAGTTCAGCCCGGTGTCTCGCAAAAGCCGAGTGACCAGAGCAGTCCGACGTTGGGAGTCTTCCACCAAGATCCAGTGCAAGTTTGGGACGTGCAAAAAAGTATTGGACAACCGTGTCAACTCCGCCTTTTGGACCGGCCGGCTGTAAGTAGGAGTGACCACGTGGATAGTGGGCAAGGCGTCCGACCAAGGAGGTGGGCGGGTGTAGACGTATTCTGTCCTAACCACCTCCACAATGTCGCGGTCAGATAAGCAATACTCCTTAGAGTCCGATCCTTGAGAGAAGTCGCGACGAGTGTCCCCACCATCCTCTGTAGTAGAGAACAAACAAGAGAAGAAGAGGTGAAGCAGCAAATAGGTAAAAGTCTCCTTTTGGCAGGGGTCAGGAAGGAGGAAAAGAAAACAAGCAGAAGAGCAGAAGCCATCAGGTGTACGGGATGGAAAGTGGGCAGATCATATTTGATTACACACCGTCTTTCCCTATGTCCTAAGTCACCCTCAAGTCTGCATTGGATAATAAGACTCAAAGCATCTTCTAATCCTGAAGCTTCTTGGTTCTCCTTTGTTTCCTTGTATCATCAATCAGTTCTTTAGACAACCTGCCTTCTGATTGTAGATGCTGATGCATCTCTATAAATAATTGTCATCATCATCATCATCATCCATCATCATCCATCATTTGTATTTGGAGCAAAAAAAAAATTTATGATGTGGGAGAAAACTATAATAATCAAGTCAACTGGCTGAGGATACAATGGTGAAGCTGAATGGAATCAAATGAATCGGGATGAAATGGTTGCTGGAAGGATGGAGAACCTTTGGTGCAATTCCAAATAATTTGAATTTGGAATGGTTGGTCTTGAAAACTGAAGCTGGTGAGAGTTGAACCTGAAAACATTTGAAGGGCACCAAATTGAATTATGAAGATACTGGTTGGTTGTTCCTGCATAGGGTAATGATTCAGAACTATAAGGTGGTGTTTCTTCCCTAAGAAACATGGCCTTTGGAGATCTCCGGTGTGTGTGTGTGTGTGTGTGTGTGTGTGTGTGTGTGTGTGTGTGTGTGTGTGTGTGATTTTTCCCATTTTATTTTTTTTAAATAAATAGTTCAAGGGA